CATTAGTATACATTTACACAATTGTATTAATGTGTAAAGTAGTATCATTTGTTTAATAGTTATAATTTTTGCACTTGTTTTGTGCTGTAATTAGTATTTACACGTTATAACATTATTCTTTCATACATAGTTAGTTTATACGTTTCGTCTGTATATCTTAGATATGCGTATTATATTCAGTATCTGATAAGTAATCACAATATCTGACATGTAACCACTGAATCTGATATGTTACATATAATTGCTCAACCATAATATGTGTTAGTTATTATATTGTTCTGTATTTGTTCTGTTAGTTCTATCCGTATTATTATCATTATTATTGTTATTATTATTGTTATTATAGTGTCTGTAATTGTATTATTGTTTATAATACATGTTAAATGTTTTATTTATTTGATTTAATATGCTGTTTAGCATATATACACTCGTTTTGAGCATTAATTGTTCAGCTGTGATATTACTATATGTGTTATTATTTGATTTATGCTATAACATATGTATGCTCGTTGACAGTGTCAATCATTTATACTATTGTAATGTTAATAGTAGAAGAGTAGTGTTTGCTTTATTAATCTTTTTAACGTTCGTCCATAGTATGATCAGTTAATTTATTATAACATGATCTCTGTGATATTATAGAATATTTTAGCATTTAATAATTGCAGTAAGTGATACTCATCATAGTTTCAACGTTGCCTGCATAGATTATGTTATTACTAGGCCAATGATCATAATCACTAAGATGACAATCATATAATGTCTGGGTTGTATGTAGTATGGTAGATTGTATGTTTGCAGTGTATTGATTTGTGTTTGGGATACTCAGACAGGTGAGTCAAGTTCCACGTCGTAGTATGCTGTGTGTGTGCATGTGATGCATAGAACTGTATAGAGCATAGACGTAGTAGAGTGTAGATAAAGTGTAGGCAGGGAGTACAAGGCTCATAACCTGTTAAGAAAGGGGGAAGAGAGGTTATGTGAGAGGCTTAGAGGAATCACACAAAGAGGGGGGATAGTGGACTCAGCTTGCTCTCTTGCAGCTTGCTTCATTGTCTGTTGATTAGTTAGTCTATATATACTATGTAGGTATGTCTCAGATGTAGAATGTATGATGGAAGGTATTCCATCATTGTTCGTCATTGCTTGTAATGTAGTTTATATCATCTGAGACATGCTCTCGTGTAGTCTCGTCTTAACACTTTACTTATTATAAAGAACAGCAAGCTTTCCTTAGGCTTGAAATACTAATAAACCTTTTGAATATTGACAAACCTTTTGGATCTTATAATGCCTTATACTGTTTCTCAGAAATTGAGATCAATTATTTTGCATTTTACAGTTTTCACAGTATTTACATATTTTGAACCATTATAAGCTAATATAAGCTATAAGACTTTCTCACAATGC